CGAGAATGGTGGGAAGATCAAACGTTAACACGCGCCTGGATGGCCGGTTGGATATCCTTTACTCGGGTTGGAGATCAATCTGAGCCCCTGAGATTTCAGAAACTAAGAGAAATAGAGACAGAACATCCACAGGGTGTATTGCTCTGTACACACACTCACTTTAGTCAAAGTTTGAGGTTCCTAGCTCATGACGTTCGGGTCGAATGAGTTCAAACAAGATTAACCTCTAGGCTAGTCTCCAAAGTGTCCCCAGAACCCAGATACGTGTTCTAAGCATTCAAAAGAATTCAATATGATGTTATACAATAGCTCTGATTTCTCCCCTGTGGTTTGTACCACAGTGGTTCCTTTCGAGGGGGATGCGGGTATCACGTGATCCATGTGAGCACTAGTTCAAACTTCAGCTTCAACTTCTCTGTATCAGACTCTTGCACGCTGGGTAGGTCAGCCTCTAGCATTGACGCCTCAATCCTCGCCGAGGGGCGTTTTTCTAACTTTTGCTCGATGAGCGGCCTTTCGCCGGAACAGGCGGCCTCACAGGCCCTCTACCTGTTACCAGAACACAGCATCGCTCCTTTCCGGGCTATGAATGATGGGCGCGTGGGTAGGCGTGAGCTCCACAACTTGGCTCAAATCTTCACGGAGAGTATACAATGCTGGAAATGCGGTCCCTGAAAAGTTCAGCGTCATCTGCTTAAAGATAATTTGCTCAAGGAAAACCTTAGGAACGCTTCTGTGGCTCTTCTCCCTGCAAAAGGTAAGGTTGAGGCATTCCAGAGGAGTGGCTTGTGGCAAGCCGGAGGTTCAAGTCGTCAAGCAAGCCAACAGCAGCGGGCTTACAGAAGGAGTGTCAGACTGACTTGCCTCGAGCAGCGGCGGGCTTACAGAAGGAGTGTCGGGCTGGCATGCCTCGAGCAGCTCGCGGAATCCATGTCGTCTTTACGGGAGGCCCAGTACGGGTATCTGACATTCCAATGACGGCCTCTAGTCAGTGACAGGTCGTCGGCCAGTTTATCCTTTCTGAAGACGAGCCTCTTTACGAGCTGGCCAAATCCGCATGTTTTGGCCATTCGCAGGTGCTAGAGTACGAATTCCTAGAAGCGGGTGGCATGTGATTGGCGCTCGCCCATGCTGGCTGTATTGGTGCAGGATTAATGGAACCTTTCAAGGATGCATTGTCTCAGTGGTGCGCTAGCTGTGTGCACGTCTTGTCAATGGCGGAATCTCATCAATTTGCATTCCCGGGAATCCGCCGGGCGATCATACATGAGGGTATGCCTTCAGCCAGCGTGCCTCTGTAACACAACCTGCCTGTCTCCCTCCGGCTGTTTGGGGATCAGCCAGGTGACTGGCGGGAGACCCATGCAGCGGATGCCGCTCACACCTGGTGGGTGAGGAGAACTGAGGCATGAGCTGACAGAGGCCGGCCAGCGGACCTGGCGAGCTTCTTACCGTGTCCGGCTGCAGGGCCGACCCAACATCGGACAGGTTTTCCCGCGGCCCGGACACTGGAGTCCCCCAGACGGCGCCTGCGCCGATCCAGTATCCTGGTCCCGGGCCCAGCTTGACGGGGGTGATGGCCGACCGGACACTGTGGTGGTTCTGGTTTTCACTTTTGCGTGCATGTTGCCGTTTGTGGTCATGCTGTGTGCCGTACATATATCTAAGAGTAGATTAATTTTTATATATTGCAAAACTCAGCTAGACTGCGCTGAAAGGATGGCTGGCTAAATGTCACACGCTCAGGTGGGGGCCTGAGAGCTAAAAAAAGTGAGAAAAGCTAGAGACACCAAAGGCACAAGGTTAGTTAGCCTGCAGGAAAAGTCACTTGAGTCAACGTTGCTTATTCTCCGCTCATGGTCTTCGGGTTTGATAAAATATTGACTTGAAGAATGAATTCTGAAAAGAAAAGATAATTATACGTTGAAAATCGACCGGTGCTCATTTTAGGTCAGTGAACTTGTTTGGCTTTAAAGAGGTCATAGTGACTAACAACCTGCGAGTTTGTTTTGATTTTTCAAATTTTAATAAGCGTCCAGGATTACGCTGGGCGGTTTGTTCCTAAAAACGAAATGTGATCACGTCACTGGATGTCAGATCCTACCCCCACGTCTGCGAAGCTCATGGCAGATGTCTGTTGTCACTGGATGTCAGTATCCTACCCCCACGTCTGCGAAGCTCATGGAAGATGTCTGTTGTCACTGGATTGTCAGTATCCTACCCTCACGTCTGCGGAAGCTCATGGAAGATGTCTGTTGTCACTGGATGTCAGTATCCTACCCCCACGTCTGCGAAGCTCATGGAAGATGTCTGTTGTGAGGATCAATGCATTTAAAGTGCATGTGGGAAACTACCTCATAAAGCAAACTTTCCAGTAAAAAGTAGCATAGTTTGGCTTCGGTTTGATTTTCATACCTGACCCAATTTACTGGAATTGTTATATTCCTAAATTCAAATGTCCAATTGTCTAAGGAAAATATGTCATACATGCGTACCTCTGTCTAAAACTACCTTGTTGCATCAGATTGATCGATTCTCTAGAAATTGCCTTCGCTGACAGCCACGGCCTCACTTTTATCTCACATTGGTTGGCCAACCCTACAAGGTACATGTGATTTGTTATACCAACAGATCCGCTATTCAACTGCCCACAGTCTGAGAGTTCGAAGCGGCTACAACTGCGTCTTTTGAATGTTATTCTAGAAAACCCCTCGGGAGTCGAGTTAGCTCCTTTCCCATACGAGCGCATGTTAATGTGCTTGGTTGTATTTCTTTTCGAAGCGTCTAAGCTGCTTGTTGCAGTGTTTTAGTCGTTGCCAGCAACTCTGGAAGTATTTCGCATGCTTAGTATGCACTTATCTTATTCGCCCTTAGGACTGCTGCCAGTCCTAAAGGAGGGGATTTGCAGCGCTTGGTCATGGGCTTGGGCACAAGGTTGAATGCATCACGTCATTGAACACTCCCACAAAATATCTTTGTTTTTAAGCCCATGTAAAATCAGGCTCAACGGCGTGATCTGAGGTGGGTCTGGGATGTAACCTCTGAGACGCCTTGTGTGGCATGGAAAGACCAAGGCATGGAACAGCATTCAACGTAAGCTATCAAGAATCCATACCAAAGAACTACTCAGATACCCATGGGAAACTACCCCTAGTGTGGCGTGGGAAATGCACAGATAGGCCATCGGAAAGGTCATGCCAATACGTGTTGTTAATATAGGAAATGTGTGCCCTCTAGCCGCTGCTTTAGTCGTCAAAATTGGTTTACATACAGATTTATCCCACAACGCACACGCAGCTGACAGACATGGTCATTTGCTGGTAGACATATGTCGGTCTAGAACGACTCATTTGCAATCAGATTCAATAAAAGCAAAAGTAAGAAGCTCTCGGGCATATTATTTAGTTCTTCCGTAATTTACAGTTCTTACGTTTCCTGAGCTAATGAATGAGACAGAAATGTGTTAACAATGCTACGATGTTGCAAAAGCCTTTCTCATCTAACGAATTGCGCCCAAATGCGATTGGAGTATGCGAACATGAATTTTAATGTTTGTTTGTAGCTTAAAATATGTGACATTTCAATCAGCGTCTGTGGATATGTAGGCACGTGAGAAGCGTGACTGGCCGAGCTGACCGCCGGTCGTTTTCACG